GAGCAAACTCAGGGAGGCAGTGAAGGACAGGAAGGCCTGGCGCGATATGGTTCCTGGGGTCACGAAGAGTTGGACACGACTTAACAACTGAACAACAACCACCACCACCCATACTGAGACAATGCAAGAAAGGAAATCAGGAAAAGCAGCTGTCCTAAATAGATACAGGAAACAGTGCGCCTGTGCATGCATGAATGTGTGTGTGTGCATTATATGAGTCTCCTTCTGTATGTGCAAGTATATAACAAATAAAATCAGCCACTGCAACTAGGATGTCTTTTCATACTAAAACCGTATTAAATGTATTAGTCAAATCATCCCACATCTATGTATGAACTGTATTCAGTGGGTTGATGAGATTAGAACACTAAAATGGCCTGGATTTCTATACCTTTTTACACAGAGTCTCGCTATCTTCAACCAGTCTCTAAACTATTTTACTTAATTCTCGTTATGCAAATGAAATAGTAATAAAAATATAGTGCCGTGAACTCCCTGGAAGAATAGCGTCACCTACCACTGAGCATACGGTACTCATGCATGCTCATCACATTTAGCCCACATGTTCAGAAAGGACTCTGTTATCTTCTGATAATTCACAACTTTTTAAACAGATGAGGGAATTGATCTAAACCACCATCAAAAAGTGTAAATATAGCCTCAATCATAAACTATCAAGAAGGCTTTCCACTCTTTAGATCAGTATCGGGGAAATCCCCACAGTTTTACTTCAACTTGCTGTGGCTTAATGTGTTTAATTAGATTCTGTGGTTGGGTTTTTAATCCTCCATTAGCTGTTCCACTGAGCAGGTAGCCATACAAATGAAAATGATAGATAAATAAATAAATAAATAAATGTCCAACTTTCTTCATTCCCAGTATTCGTAGTCAGGGCTGATGAGAGTTGGAAGTCCAACTTTATCCAGACGGCCACAGACTTTCCATGTTGTCTGTTTGATATGAGACAAGAGGACAAAAAGCAGTGGGAAGTGTTCTTGCTCAAGGTAAGGTAGTCCTCGTTCAGTGACCACTCATTCAGTGACCATTCGAAGTTACAATGGTGCTGAATGAGGGGACTTACAAGTTCCTCATAGTTGCAGCCATCACAGCATCCTTACAGTCATGTGATTGAGATTTGGGTGTTTGGCAACTGGGTCGCAATTATCATGTCACAGTGTCCCGCAGTCATATGATTTCCATTTGCAAGTTCACTGCCAGCTTCCAACAAACAAAGTCAATGGGGAAGCCAGCAGGAAGTCACAAGTTGCAGTCACATGAGGTCGCACTTTACAACCACATTGCTTAGTGGCCGAGTTGCTGGTTCCAACTGCCATTGTTAAGCGAGGACTACCTGTAATATATAGGAAGTGTGCAAATTCCTTCCCTTTGGTGTCCTTAACATTTCTAAGCCATTGAATTGGAGGATAAAGAATGCCTTCTCATTTTCAATTGCCCTACACACAAAAACTAATGGCTAAATTGAACATAGGAAATTTTAATTATTATGCAACATTGAAAATAGAAATATATGATGTAATTTTACAGCAGTGCGTTGTTGAATTGTCTTATTTGCCAAAGCTGGAATTTGCTGTTCTTTGACAGAGACAAGAAAGACTTTTAAGCAATTCAATCAATTTTTTTGAGATATTGCCTTTTTCCTTTTTCCTTTTTTTTTATTTTTTACCATTTACATATTATATATGTGGCTCATAGTAGTTTTTATTTTGTTAATTTAGATCTTGTTATATTATTTGAGATACAGCTAAATTTTCATGAATACTTGTACTTCCTGTCTCAAGTTTAATTTTAAAAGATGGAGAAAGGTACGGTTGTATCTATAAGGCAAAAGTAGGAGTGGCATTCCTTTATAACACCATTGGGGAACATGGTGGCTAAAATAAATGCACTTGTTCTTCATTGTTTGAAGCCACATGAAACACAGATTTTAAAAGTGTTTTAAAGAAAGAGGATCAACTCTCCCCATTACAAATAAACCATATTTCTCCTGAAATGTTTAAAATCACCTATCTCTCCCACAAAATTTGTTCTCTTATTCTAGTTCCTTCTCTACAAGATCTTCCTCATGAAAATAGCATAACATGAGTTCCAAATGAAAATGTCATGACTATCAAGGAAATATATATGTTTTCTCTCTCATACATTGTATCGCCAAACAACTTACAAAGGTAATCATTTGCCCACAGCCACATAGTGCATTAATGGCCAAGGAGGAAATTAAACCAAGGTTTTTGCAATTTCAGTCAAGCGCTCTACTATGCCACATGATTTCTTGACTTAAAATAGGCTGACCTATCTCTCCCTGAACTGGAGATTGAATCATTTTTCATTTTACCAGCAGAGGCCGTTGTAAAACAAGATCTGTAATCCATCCAAACAGTGGGTTAACTACTGCACAAATATTCTTAAACTAATAATGGTCACAAATTCTGATATTGGAGCCATTTTCTATAGAAAATGAAGTGATTCCCATATCTAGGTTAAAGTGCAGCCTGTGGAACATGAAAATGGGCATAGAGGACCACTGCTTGGAAATTATAGACAGAAAATTTATGGACAGCCATTTGTCGCATGCAAAAATCATACCATTTTATAATACTGTAAGTAAGACGTTACAGGACAATGGTTATTATTTATTAAATTTATTATGGCCGCCCACTCCAAAATACTCTGGGCAGCTTACAATATCCAAATATACAATTAAAACAGTTAAAAGCATGAAACAAACATGGCAACCCAGACTAAAAATAACCATACCAATAAAACATGACAGGGGTTCCAGAGACACATTAACCCAAGGCCTGGGAACCGGGCCAAATCTTAAGGGCCTTCCAGGACCACAGGACAGTGGGCACCACACGTATCTCTGGAGGGATGTTGCTCCAGAGGGCAGAAGCAACAACAGAGAAGACACACTTCCTTGATCCCCCAAGATGACAGTATTTAACAAAAGGATCTGCAGTGGAGTGCATCCACTCTGCCTGAATGTACCACGCAGGCAGAAACAATTGGAGATAGGCAGTTCCTCAGATAACCAAGACCTATGCCATGAAGGGCTTTATAGGGAGCAATCAGCACCTTGAATTGCACCCAGAAGCCAGCTGGCAGCCAACATAGTTCATGTATACATGGGCATAACGAGAAGTGCCCAGTACCACTTGCACTGCTGCATTTTGAGCCAGCTGTAATTTCCAGAAGATCTTCAAGGACAACGCCATGTATAGCACATCTTACAGTAGAAGATTCACATTCCTCTTAATCCTATTTCTTTAGCACACAATTTGGACTGTTGGTGACTTTTCTAAGTTCCAACAAGTAGTTCAATCAGCCTTAATCAGCCTGGAATTCTCCAAATAAGTTAGACTTCAACTCCAGAATTCACAGCCAACTGAAGTCCAACACATCTAGAGAGTACTCAGTTGGAGAAATCTTAGAAAGGGAAAGGTGATGTAAACTTACATCAGTGCCTAATACTAATATTGTATGCTGACCTACACTATTTAGATATATTTGATTCAAATTCCTGCACATCTGTGAAATTTGAGGCATGAACTTTTCAAATTGGTGGGTTATAAGCAAAAAACTGCCATCCTGTGTGTTTTGTGTGTGTGTGTGTAATTGTTATCATTTTTATCTTCTCACTTTTTAAATCTGTACATTTTTAATCCAACAGGTCACTGATAATAGTGTTTGTTCTACATTCACATGTGGCTTTTCTGAGTTTGTTACTGTTTCAAAAAAACTTCAGAACTGCTTGACAATAAGAACAGAAGAAAATCAATGTTTTTGCTACCAGCTCCTTTCAGGTGTAAATAAGGTTATTATATAATCCAGTTTTAAAACTGACCATATATTTTTCTTACAAAAACAGCTATATCGGAAGCTTTAGCTGTAGTCATAAAAACGAGATAGAAACTTTTAAAAGAAAGGATAGAGGGTGAAAGTTTTACTAACTTCAGTTTTTTTAGAAAATGAAAACTTCTGACCTAAATTCATTTCCTGCGTGTAATGCCTCTAGGCAGACTAATATTAAAAACAGCTCAGCTATTAACAGCTGAGATTCTGTAACAGCCACTTGTACCTTCATCTGGGTTGCATCCCTAGCAAATCCTTTCCTTCTCCTTCTCCTTCTCCTTCTCCCGTAGAAGGGGCAAGAAGATTTTAATGAAATCTGTTCAAGTATTCCGCTGGGGTCTCTATGTTTCCATTAAAATTCATCTACCTATCAATATTTTATTTGTAGTTTTCATTTTGTTCATTCAGGTCATATGGTAACGTTTGGAATGTTTTAAAGCTGAAATCTCTATCAAGTGAATTTAATAAAAGAAGTGGAAAAAAGAGTTCATCAGATTTTTCTGATGACCTTGATAAAGATGTGTTTCCTGTGTATTTAAAAGGATTTTGTCATAACTTAAGAAATGTGGGTTTGTGCAGTGTTTTGTTTTTTCTGGTCTAGTCTGATTCATACTGAAAATTACGTCCTTCCTAGGACTGACTTTCCCTGGTTTTCCTTTGCCATATCTGACTGATGAGTTAAGCTAAGGGCTTATTAATCATAATTTCTTTCCAAATGTGTGACTAAATACTAGCATTCAAATTCTACAGGATGTGTTGAATATTTTTGCAGTATACCTCTTTACTGTGGGGGGATTTGAAACATGGTTTCTTAGGTCTCAATCCAGCACTCCATTCGCTGGGTACTCATCAGATCAGTAGAAATGTTACAAAACATGCTCAATTCTATTACCAGGGATTCTTATGAAAATGAATATTTTGTACTTTTGGAATGGGTTGCTAGGATCCCTGTATGCCACCTTAAGGTACTTAGAGACAATGGGTAAGTGGGGTAGGGCCAGATATAAGTAGGGTGAAGAGAGAGAGAGAAACAGAGAACAACTAATAAGAACCAGTGCTATTAACCAGTCTTCTGTTAGTAAATTGGCCAATACATTGGGGGATTATATCTAAAAAGTGCCCAATGGGGGATGCTAATGTAAATCAAAAGCTCTTACCACTCAGAGTTTCATCTTTGGCTAGGTAATTCCGATAGAACAATACCAGTTCAATCCAGTGCCTATAAACCAGCAGGCCTCCTGAAACCACTCCAAGTAGTGTTATAATGGTACAACACAAAGTAAGCAAGAAATGCATTGCTAAAGTGGGAAAGGGAAATAGATAAAACATAATGTAAAATTCATGACTAATGATGAAGTTAAAGATGAAATATAAAATTTAATGTTAAATGAAGTTAAGGATGAAATATAACATTTGGGCAAAGATGTGGTGGTTGGTGACATGAACTTGTCCCTGAAGACACAGATGCATTTCAAAGAGCAATAAATGTTGCTTCAATGAAGATGCACATGTTTATAGCACATGTATATGAAGTTAGTTCTATTCAGATGTGTCTGCAAACTGTACTTAAAACATATGCTTTCATTTATGTGACAATCCAAAATACAAAACTTGGTAGAGGGCTCCATGAAGGCCTAGACCTCAAACCTTTAACACGTCCATTTTAGGCAAACCTTTAGAAGATCTAGAGTCCACTTAGAACCTCTTCTGTGGAGTGGAATTTCCCATTTCTCCAGTACTGGAATCTGCCAGTTTACTCCAGCCTGGAATTTCAGCAGTCCTAAGGCTGGCAAAGGCACTAGAAGTACAGTGGCCTGCTTTCTATCAGGGCTTTTGGGAAGGCAGAGAAAATAACCAGAAGCAGCTGTGTTTCTCCAGAATCCATTAAAGTATGTCAAGTTGTTGATGCAGTAGAGCTCCAGTTAGTGGTTTCTCAGATTTCTGCTCTGCTGAAGATCAAACTAGGGGTAAAATAAATCTACCCTTAGTTAATGCTGTGGTGACAGTTGTTCATAAGATGCTGGAGAAGTCTTAGCTGCCTACAAGGAAGATTACTTAATTTTGCCCAAGATGAATATATTTAACTGTGGAATCTTCATCTGAGAAGCCACATACAGGTAGTCCTCGTTTAGCAACCACAATTGGGACTGGCAACTCGGTTGTTAAGTGAAGCAGTTGCTAAGTGAAACCATGACTGTGCTTATGATTTTACTTCAGTTTTCCTTTGCTTTACAGACCTGTGAAGGTCATAAATGTGAGGACTGGCTGCAAAATTACTTTTTCATCACTGTTGTAACTGCAAACGGTTGCTAAACAAAGCCGTTGCTAAACAAGGACTACCTGTACTTTTTCATACTGCATTTCAGGGAAAAACAGGAGACAACTGTTGTATTCATGTCACTCACATTTTATCCTCACAAGAAACCTGGCAGCCTCTTTTAGAGACTCTGTGTTTGACCAGATGGATTGATTAGAAGATGTCGTGTTTGTAAAAGGACAAGAAATGACTGTCAAAGTATGGCAGAGAAACCAGAACTGTTTTTATAACAGGGTTTTGAGGTTAAGACTCATGATATTCACATAGATGTTTACCCCATAATTAACATAATCAGTCAGAAAACCAAAGGAATTTTTTAATTAGGACAAGTGGAGCAGTGATATTATCTTAGTGGTTTGACAGTTTTACCTTTTTCTGTTTGCCTCTTAAGTTTGATCACTCCAGTAGCATTCCCAATAGAGTTTTGAGCCAAGCAGATGAAGTGGCTGTTCAAATCGTCTTCCGTTACTTTTATCAGTGTGAAGGTAAGAGTAAAGGTTTGTCCTTCCAGTCCCTGTGGATGAACCCTAAGCAGAATAATGCTCCCATCAACCATCAATCATGCTCCCATTCATGTCCGGACATTTGCAGCTTTTCATGATACCCATGAACAAATATTTTAAATGTATATAGAGGACTTTTACAATGGCAGACACAGAAAGAATAAAATATTGTAGAGGACACATCCACCAGTCACACTGAAACTCTCTTTTTTAACAAATAGCAACGCTACTGTTGTTTGGTCAACGTAATCTTCCAGAAACCACCTCATGAATCTGTCACACAAGTATTAATGTGTTTCTTCTATAACTCACCTTTCCAGCAAGAATCTTAAGATGCCATGTATTGAGCACTGTATTTTAATCCCACCAATTCTTATGGCTGATTCATATGGATAAAGCCAATGAAAAATTAAACCCAAATAAGGTTGCTAAACTAAATGTTTAGCTTTAGGAAGGTCATGGTCCTAAAACCAAACAAGCCACATTAGGCTATTTTTGTCCCTACCTTTTTTGCTGTATCAGTTGCTTGCTTTTATTGGTTTCTCGGTACCACTGTAGCGAAGAGGAAACATTCATTTCAAAACCAAATTGTGCTTTGCATTCAAGATCAACTGGTTGACCTTAAAAAAAAAAAAAGATGAGGGTGGGGAAAAAAACACTTAAAATCAGTATGCATATTTTCCAAGGATCTGAAAATGTTTTAGAATAGTTTGCAAATATAGGACTTGAAAATTCACAGTCTATTAATATTAAGTAACATATATGAGGGGTTGCTAGAGATGCAGCTGTGTTATTTTTTTTTACACAAAATGAAGTACTTACTATTTCATTTGGTTTCAACACACACCACTTCCTATATGTCTTCTATGCATTTGATGGAAAGGAGATGATCCATGAAGCTTATATAATAATTATATTGGGCACTTTTTGTTGTTGTTGTGCCTTTGAGTCACTCTTGACTCCTGGAGACTGCCTGGACAAGTCCCTGCAGTTTTCTTGGGAATGTTTTCAGAAGTGGTTTGCCCTTGCCTGCTACCTAGGGCTGAAAGAGAGTGACTGGCCCAAAATCACCCAGCTGGCTTCATGCCTAGGGTGGGACTAGAACTCACAGTCTTCTGGTTTCTAGCCTGGTGCATTACCCACTACACCAAACTGTCTTTCTCCTATTCTGCTACATTTAAAAAGTGTTGTATTTAAGATGATAAATCTGTGGCTTCCAATGTAATGCTATGGATACATATTCATCAGAGCAAAATTGCTATAGAATAATAAAACTAGACATTCTTGTAATGGTATGTGGGAATGACCTTGGGAGACAGGAGGTAGAGTGGCAGAGTAGCCAATGGTCAGATAAGAGGCAGCTGAGCCTGCATAAGGAATGGGGGAGTGGCAAACATCTCAGAAGGGACCCTCCCTAGTTTCTTGGACTGTAAAGGTAAGGGGGAGACTTCAGACTTGCAAGATTCTGTTAATGTAACCTTACAATAAAGATAGCATTAGCACTGTTGAGTGTGCTTCTTGTCTGGATGACCTCGAAAGGCTTAACAAAGTCAAACATCTGTCAAATGTTTTTAAAAAAGAAGTTGTGCATGGACAGTGGGAGGAAAGATGCCAAATGGGTCTTCTTAATGAGGAACCTATAAACTAAAATAGCCACAGAAAAGGCACTTACCTACATTTTAACCAGTTATAATACTCCCCTTTTTTACATTTAGCATTACAAAATCTAAAATCAGACTGATCATAATAGCTAGGGCTCAAACCCATTTAGGGCTTTAAAACATCATGCCTCTTGAAATACTAATAATATACTCCTGAATCCATATAATGCAGTTGTTCTGTGAAATTCATATCTTTATGCTGCAGTCATTAACTGATGAATGTACGTGTGGAAACCAGCTAGTAGTTAGAATAAAATTTACTTTTCTCCAACTTTCCAGAATAGAATACTGCTACTTTGCATAAACAAGGAAAGCAATAGAGAATCTGTGATTGGTATCATAAAATAACAGGTAGTCCAAAAGTACCCACAACTAGTCCATTTCAGCTAAAATTAAGCTCTAGTTTAGAGTGAATGCAGTCAGTGTAAGACACCTATTATCTTCTAGGTTGCAAAATAAATTCAAAAAGATAATTATCTTACCAATTTCTACTTCAAGGGTTGTCCTGTCATTGGGATTCAAAACCTTTGGAGGATGGATAGTATCTTCTGCTAAAATATGAAAAATGGTGTGTCAGAAGTTACGAAATTCCTAACAAAAACTTTAATTAGATTTACCATGTTGAATGCATGGCCAGGTTAAATATGACCATTTACAAGAGGGATCCATGAGAAAACACAGACAAGATACCTCTCATTTGGTGGAATGACACTACCCAGCGTTTTGTTAGCTGAAACATTGCAAGTCAAGGACTAAGTACTTTCAACAACAGTGAGTTCTGCAATGGGCAATCCATATAAACTTTTGGTTCCAGGGGCTACACTTTTATTCCAGATCAGGTACCAACATCACAGATGAAGGTTACTAATTAAATGCAATTCTTTCTCCAGCTATCGCCTCTACTGTTATTCATCTGAGAGTGGAAAGGAGTTATTTGACTATATTTGTACTTCATAGGTTATATTCCTGATGAATCCATTCTTCTCATTACACCAGAGACGGACAGTGTGTGTGTGTGTGTGTGTGTGTGTGTGTGTGTGTGTGTGTATCCCAGTGGTGGTAGAAGCACTCGGGACTGTGACCCCTAAGCTGGGAGAGTGGCTCCGACAGATCCCAGGAGCAACATCAGAGCTCTCTGTCCAGAAGAGCGCAGTGCTGGGAACAGCTAAGATACTGCGCAGAACCTTCAAACTCCCAGGCCTCTGATAAGGGAGCCGAGATTGAGGAAGACACACACCACCCATAGGGGTGAGAGGGGAATTTTTTTTATATATTTCAAGATAATTTTAAAAAATAATCTATTAGGAATGCCATGATGGTAGAATTACAGCAAAAAGTGACTGGTGCCCTCATTCTTTCTTTGATAAACCTATTTCTCTTCTGCTGTCCCTCTATCTCTGATAGAGCTAAAAATAGCAGATCTGGTCTGGAAAAATATGGATGACTACTAGACGGCAGAAAAGAGTAGAGAAAAAACGAATCCCCTGATGCTATCTAGTATTGATATGGATTTTTGCAGCCCCAATATAGTAGCCCTACTTTTGACATACTTCTCAACCAACTAGCAGAAGAGAGTTATTATTTCCATGGGTCTAATTGAAAACAGAAGGCTTTCAAAATCAAGCAGAGAGCCAAAGAAAATTAACTTGCCCTCTCCTACACTCTTTGCTTATATAAAATAAAAGTAATGATTTTTCACAGTATTTCCTAGTATTCCTACAGATGTATTTTTTGGAATTCATTAAAAAAATTAATGAAAGCGTACACTGAATAAAGCTACCTCATCTTTTAGAATGCCATACCATTTTAGAACAATGTCTTTATTTGCTTGTTTGGTGAGATGTATGTCCACACTTAACCATCCACATACAACCACACTTTATCTATTAGAATGGCAGATCAGGGTTTCAACTGGTGCTCTTCCTTCAGCAGAACTTTCCCCTGTGCTATACAGGTTTTTAACTGATATTACCTTAGCATGGCATCATTGACCTGCCATAATGTGCTCATAGCAGATAAGCTCCATCGATCTTAAAGAAGAATTATCCAAATGCATTCTTGTAAAGTTTTACAAAAGAGAACTCAACCCCTTTTGAAAAAGAAGTGTGATTGCTGCATGTCTTCCAGACAAGTATCAAAAGGAGCAGCTTCACTTTGTTTGCTTTGGCAGAACCAATTATTTACTCGTTACATGTATTTTCAAATGCCAGTGTATAAGTAAATATATTGGTCAATGGAAACTGCAGAATAGAAACTCCAGGATCCTTTTGACCATTTCTGAAAGCAATCCATTAACATATCCACAGGTGCTGGTCAGTGATTGATTGATTGATTTGTTTGCAACATAGATCTCGTTCTAACTTTTCGAAAGTTTGTGAAAAGCAGATTTGTTTCTTCTGAGTCAATTGTTTTAAAGGAGGGTCACAACTGCTCAGACGTGTCAGGAGTGACATAGAAAAGCCAATGATGCAAACAGTAATCGAATATTCATTATATTCAAAATAGAATTATAAAAAAATTAAGAAACTCTAAATAAGTATAGTATAGTAGAATGTAATGTACATATGTTTCACTACCAGAATGTAAAGCATTATATAAAAGTATTTATTATACTGAATTATATATAGTGACTTACAGATAACGTGCACATTTACTATTGTTCTCATTTTCCATTGCATATTGTGGTCAGTCAACATGTAATCACATGTATAAGTACCATTATCTTTATCATACACAGAATGCAACACTAGTTTGTCATGGTGGAATTGTAGGCCCGGTCTTTTCTTTTGACGTTTTACTTGTATTCCATTCTAACAGAAGGAAAAAAGGAACAACTCACATATTATGATAGGTAGAAATAAACAATTTCACAAATTCTCAAGTTAACAACCAGATCACCCTCCACCTTCCTGTCCCCTTCACTCTAGGTCAGATTTCCTCAATTTGATTTATAGCAGTTCCAGTATAGTTGAAGATATCGAGGTGAGAAAAACTGGCTTGGAATAATACCTTTTGCCCTGGTATTCCCTGGTATCTTGGAAATTTAAGCAAGGTTGGCTCTTATTAGGACTTGGATATACATTCAAGAAGAAGCAAGAATTTTCTATGATACGATAAAGTTAAGGTTAATGTAGATTTTAAAAATCACTATGGCAGAAGTGCCATATTGAGAATATGGAATAGATATAAACACAGACTGTGCCCAAAAATGCCTTTATGGGTCTCAGCACAAGAAGCATTTTATAGGAGAGAAACAGCAGGTAAAGAGAAATGGTTAACCTATTGAGAGTTGTTAGAACAAGAGCATGGAGAATGTAAGATGAAATCAAGAGAGCAATTGGCTGCAGAAGGATTTAGTTTTCAGTGGTTTTCATATGTATAGCTAAGAGAAAGATTCAAGGTAGATAACAGGACATTTGGAATTGAGCAACAGAAGACAGAAGTTGAAGTTGAATCATGTACAAATGATGAACATGTAATTGCCAAAATGTATAAACTCATTTTCAGTTCACATACAAATACTGATACAAAGAATTTTAAAGACTAAGATTCAACTGAAACCAGAACTTATTTTGTTGGGATTAATGGACAACTAGAAAAAAGCCATGGAAGGTTATTTTTATATGTGATCACTGCAGCAAGACAACTATATGTACAAAAATGGAAAGATTCTGAAATAGCCACAATGGAGGAATGGTTGGTGAAGATGATGGAATGAGCAGAGATGGCAAAATTAATTTGTTTGATTAGGGAAAGATCAACTATCACATGTATTAGTGATTGGATACCCCTTATGGACTTTTTGTAGAAAAAAGAAAAAAATGAACTGATGATTTATGGATTTGATGATTTGAAAGGCTAGATTATGGAAAGAAAGAAACTTTGATGTAACCTTAGACAGAGAGAGGACAAAATATAAATGTACTTATAACTGCTGTTAAGAAGATCAGAAGCCACTTTTTATTATTCTTTCTTTCTTTCTTTCTTTCTTTCTCTTTCTTTCTTTCTTTCTTTCTTTCTTTCTT